GACATAGACCCGTCAATTTCGATGTCTGGACGAGGCACGCCGGCCTGGTGGTCAAGATAAAGTATGGTAAAATCGAGGTCCACCTTCTCAATCATCTGCAATTCTTCACAGTAATCGTCCTCATACCAGAAGTTTGAAGTCAATCGAATATGGCGAATTCCAGCTGAAATCACGTTGACACTTGGGCTTTTTCTTTCATCGTCAAGCGGGCTGAACTTATTATTGGCGTAAATCTCTCCCAAATGCGCAGTCACGAAATCCCTCGGTCTGTCTTCCTCGGTAATCCGAGGGAATACGAGGATAGGTGTCTTAACCACGACATCGAAGCGCATCAGTGAAGCATTTTCCTGGATCTGGTTCGCTTGGTTCGCCGCAGCCTGGCGTGCAGCATTGAAAATAGCTTGCATTTTCCCAAATTTAACTAAGAAGTTGATGATTCTCTGATAAGGACCCTCAATGAAATTAATTTTAATCGAGCCAGATCGCAAGAATACTTCAGAGTTATATCCAGGATAATCTTCGGACTCGGGATCGAAGGTCTGATATTTGAAATCTGCAAAGTCGTCTCCTTCGATACTCATTAACCTTCGTACCGCCGACTGCGAATGGTTCATATCATCGAAGAGAGTCAAGCTACCCATCCGAGTTTCAATTCTCATTGACGGGCCGGTTAAAAAGATGCCAACATCAGCGGCATTTAAACTTATCGTAGCAAGCCTGACTCCATCATCATTGAGAATGAGAGCAATTCTTTCCAATTTCGCTTTAATACGGATTTTCCCAGGCCCAGGTTGTTGCTGTTGCTGTTCTTCCTCAGGATGATCCAGTAACGGTGTGTCAGCTTGTGCCTGTTCTTGTGCCTTGTTATTGTTATTGTTACCCGGGTTCGTAAAGGTGATAAGGATAAAGTCCAGCAGGGTAAGAAGCGTTTTCCTTGTCACAACGAGGTTTATAGTTGATATTGAAAGGTCCAAATTCATTTCTGTGCCATCATAGGTCGATATAAACTCCGGAGATTTCGGATTCACACGAACAAACCTCAGGTTGAACAAATCCCTTTCTTCATTTGCGTCAGAACCCTTAGAGGAGATTATTTGCTTAAAATCCGGAGACGGCGAATCCTCGATATAATCATCCACGCTAAGAGAGTTTAGGAGAATTTCTGCAACCATATCGTATTGGCGAAGGTAGTAGTCCAGTTGGAAATGTTTGGCAACCAACTCTACCAGCAACTTATCAGCGCTTTCCCCATTAGGGTCAGAGCGGTAAAGCGAACCGCGAAGTGTGTCAACTGTAAATTTGAATTCAAATATTCTCTTGTGGATGTTGGTGGGCTGTCTGGACCCCTTCTCGACAGTGCGACCGCGCGACTCTTCCGCATCTGAATCAGTTTCGTCGACAGTGATCTCCGGTAGGCTGGGCAGTTGGAATGACGATGATCTTGGTTTCCTGGTTGAGGCATCCGTCCCGGACCTTTCTCTTGGGGCTCCCTGTAATTTAGTGAAATCTTGGGTTTCTTCGTCGATCCGCGGAATCGCAATGTCAATCAACCTCATGAGATTTTTATACTTTGTGTCAGACATCGATGCATGCAATTCTTGCAGACGGCCTGACACTCGCGTGCGTGTAAGTTCCGTAGATTTCGGGACAATGCACAATTCAAGCATGAAATGCATACTTATGCGGTCAATGATATGGAAATTTTTCGAAACGACGCCCGAGGTTAGCTGTGCTTTGGTGGCCTCGATTCCAGGGCCGATAAGGACTTGAGTGGACTCAAGCTTTAAGAGAAATTTGTCGTACATCAAACTTTCGAGCTGCCTGTAGTCCTCTTCGCTGAACCCTTTCTTTTGTCTTCCCTGAGAATCCTTAATAGTGTCCTTGGATACTAATTCGCTGGTAACACTGACATGACCAGCATCAACGATTAAACATATGGTGCTTTCCTTGACAATGCTTTCTGGAACGATGATCAGAGGTGCCTGGATATCGAGCTGCGCATTTACTGTCTTGTGCTCCTCTAGCGCGAATTCCAACCCGGCTCGGGTCTGCTGTCGAATCTCTTCGACAGTGGCACCAGCAGTTTCAAGCAGGGCACCAATGGACTCCATGTGTCTTTCAGGGGGTCGTAAAAACCTGACCACTTCAACTAGGACCGCAGGGTTGTAAATAACCTCAATACTCTTCAACTTCATCTTGATTGCGGAATCTGCACTGCCATCAAGCGGGTTTTGTTCTAGCTGAAGATGGAAAAGGCTGTCATCTAAGTCCAACGTTTCCTCCTCCTGGGATTCAAGGTCTTGGCTCTCTATCTTCTCGCTTGCTTCGTCCTTAAGCTCTGTCACCCTGTCCTTAACTCGAATTATTTGCGGGAAAAGAGTGCCTTCTGTCGTTCCGTCATACAATCGAAGGCCTCCTAAGTCAATATCAATGACGAAGGAATCTGGTCGTTGTTTCGCTTTCGCTCGGAACTTGTCAAAGACCAGCTTCAGAACCTCGTTTGCTTTTCCTTGGGGATCTCGTTTTAAAGTAAAGCTACCCGTTCGCAGGCTAGAATCTACCTGGAACTTGACAGAGTCCTTGGGAAGCTCGACACTCTCGGCGATGGCCTTTTTCTCATCCCAGTCGATTGCATCATACAGCTCCTGTTTCTGCTCCTCGGTCATTGTTGTACTTTCCTCCTCCTTCTTGGTGCCCCAAATCCATTCGGACCAGGTCTGACTTCTGGCAGGCTTCTTAACTCCAACATTTTCCTTCCTCAATTGGTTCCTTGCTAATGACCTCCAAAATCTGAGATCTTCATAGGAAAGTTTCTCCTCCAGACGGCCCAGTTCCGCAGCTTCTTCTAGCGATAGAGTTTCCTCCCTCTTTTTCTTTTTAAATAAGTTGATATATGAGACCCGATCATCCCTTCGTTCTTTGATATAACCCCATGTCCAACGCCGATTCCGTTCGTGGATTTTGCTAAGAACAGAATTTGCAGCGAACTGTAACCAAGCTCTTGGGTCTTCCTTGGGTCGAACTTTCGGTTGGTGTTGCTTGTATTCTTGATGCCGAATAAAGTAGTGGAATAAATCAACGAGCATCAGCACATCACGGTACTGATCTTCATCAAGGACAAAGCCAAGTTCATCAAAAAGCAACCTCGCCTTGATTCTTGGTCGATCTGTCCGCCCAGTTTTATCAATCTCGAGGCCCGCTCTGCCACTAACGGGTTTCAGCATGAACTGGTGGTTTTCTTCATTGATGGCGGCCTTGAGTCTACTGATCAACTCCTCACGACTCAGGCCCATGCCTTCGCCATTTCCCCCGGTGCCTGATCCGAAGAGTTCCACATCCGTATTCCAATAGACAGCAAGAGCTTCTAGGACAGCCAATTTATGGCTTGTGCCTGATGTGGACTGAACAAATGTGGGTTTCCAATCAGCATCCGTGCTGACAGCACTGAGCTCCTTGACAGTTATGCCTACGGCAAAATGATGCCCCGGGGCGGCAATGGAATCCTCGTAGCGGAAATGCACATTCTTAATCTCCACCTGTAGATTGTCGATAATAGCGGTAGTCAAACTTTGAGTAAAGCTCTGATTTTTTAACCGCTCTTCTTGGGACATTCCGTCAGTGCTTTGCTGCTCCTTAAGTATTTCTGCACTTTCGAGTTTCTCCATCTTGATCGCATGTTGCCGTCGTTTTTCCTCTTCTGGGTCGTAGGTGGCATCCTCTTTGGGTGCTGCGAGTAGGAAGACGTCTTGTATGTGGACCCTCACTGGCTGGCCCCTCAAATTTGACCAGGGTATTGATAAGGTAAGTTCTCCAAGATGACCTTCGACGACATTTAAGGGAAGACGGAGCTGGTCGAGGGCTTCCCGCCGCAGTTCAAGGTTTCGCAGTTTCACGTCGCCAGACCAGATCCCAACATTGAGTTGTCCCGCATCGAAATTTTTGACGTACATGCCCAGAAACCTGTTTAACAGGTTCGCAACGATGCCTTCGAGCATGTTGGCAGTCGACGGTCGTTACCCTGACCGGGGGAGGGGGAATTCAATCGGGTATGTGAAGATAGAACGGGAGGAGGTCCGAGGTCGCGTATCTCAAATCGAAAAGCATGGGAATTAAAATGGAGTTTAGTAAACCGCAAGAGTGGTACTAGACGCATAGTAGTTGTTAGTATCTCGATGCGACTGTGGATGATATCCCGAATGATAGTAAACAAAGTTCGAGGAACGAGATTGGCATTTTTCCCCCCACACGGCTGGAAAGAAGTCACTTGCAAAGACTCAACTCTCATTTACGAATAGCATACAGAGGCCTTGCTAGTATGCTAAAGGCGGGGAATGGCTTACCGCATTGGTTCGGATTCAGGAAGCCCTAAAGGTTGGTGAGGGTTTACTCCAGCACACGGGATACGGACGCAGCAATCATGCTATGTCTCCAGCCTTCAGTCTCCAGCATACACATCCACAGTAGTCGGGCAGAATACCGCGATACTTCAAGAGAATCCAAGGTTGGTCTGTGATATGAAGCTTAGAAGCAACTGGTGAGCAGGTCGTGGCGGGTTGGCAAGCAGCAGGTGAAGGAGAGTTTACGTCACGAGTTAGTTAAATAGCTGCCCGAAGGAGCAAGCCGCAAGGAAAAAAAATACTTTGTTGTTACCCAAAGTCTCCACAAAACGTCCTGTTCCTTGACCTTTTGTGGCTGCTTGCTTAAATATATTCAGATTACAAGCAGAAATGCTCTAGGTATTATTAGGCATATCAATTCCACGGAGGACTTGCTCGTACGTATATATTTTTTCACAAGAAATAGTTACTGAATCTATTTTCGCTCTTACTCTGACTCCCCTCTTTTTGATCCAAGCTCGGCACAATTGGGTCTAACAACAATGGATAAGGGGACTGACTGCGCTATCGATACTCTCCTACAGTTGCTCTATGATATAGTTGGTATATTTCCTTCTATAGAGCCGGAGAAGCAATATTTTAATTTATATGTATATATATAGGCATCAATTGAAACTGAGGTTGATCCAGTTCAGTTTTCCGCGCGACATTACTCCGTATTTATGGTCGACTCGACTGCAAAACATGTTTGGTAATCTACGCATTCTTCCAAGTGAGTTAGTAACCACAATCTTCAATCACTATCCGGCTGCTGACAAACTTGCAAGAAAACAGAAAGACAGTGCGAAATCTTAATTCCCAGTCTCTAAACCCATGTTGAGATCTATGGGCCGGTTTGTGGGCAGGCAAGCAGACAGGCACGCCGGGCAATCGCAGGAAGATGTACATGTGCATGTACCAGACGTGCTGGCGGCCTCGCGATCAGAGCCGGATGCATTTTTGGTTCCGGAATCATGAGAAAGATATCGGGCGTTTTGAGGCCGTTCTGGTAGAGGGTACTATATGGGGTAGTCATCAATTCATGGGAGAGGATGGACGAGTGCCGACTGGCTTTGCAGATACTCTCCGTATCTTCTCGCGATGGTAATGACACATGCAGGAATCGAGAAAGCATTTCATATTTATGTTGTGAAGCTGGCGCCCGGTATCATTGTTCGTAAGATATTGCTGAAAACAATCAGTAGCAATCCTACAATACTAGAAGCTGGAAGATGGACCTCAGAAGATTTATCAGGGGCTGGGTATCGTGAAGGCTCAATGTCCATTTGACATAGGTATGACGATGTTAGGATCTGCCCTGCCATTCTCACTGGGTGTGGCAGCAGCAGGAGTACTGCCGTCAAAGGGAGCGCCATGACTCCCGTTGCGCACAGATCTAATGCCCATGGGGACACATGGGAGGTCCTCGGGGAAGTCCTGGCTAATACATCGGGAGTCCCGTCGTCGACAGCCGTTGCAGGGCATGCTAGCAACTCTCGGATCGAATCTACACTTCATCTTCCGCAACTTGCATTCCCAGCAACTGCGCGTGCCCTTGTGCAATGGCGAACAAGTAGGGGTCATGTGACGATGTAACAAATGTAGCAGACATTGTATAGATCTGCCGGACGATGAGACTTGGGCCCCGAGGCGACTAGAGAAATTGTAATGGCAGTATACAAAATTCATAGAAGCGTGGAAAGGAGAAGGTTGACAATTGCAGCGGGGGGGGTTGGTCCTGGAACATCCTCGCTGTGATGGCTTGGCACCACACCCTAGCAGCTCTCGTCTGCCGGTCGAGACACACATGGCCGGACGAAGCTGCACAGAGTCAACTTCTTGCTTAGTCCTTTCCTTGCATAGAAAGGCTTGAACTCTGGCTTTCAAGGTTTCAAACTCTCAGGAACTTCAGGTCGTTTAATGTGTTGAGGTCCGGGCATCCTGTTTCACCAACCACCACCACCACCACCAGTGTTATTTAATCCATGGAGTACGGAGTATAGTCACACCATTCATGCTTTTTCAACGTCTCAATCAATCCTATAGGGGATCCGAATCACCAGGTTTGAATGTTCAGGTAGTTGCGTGAGTACTCTAGCGCGTCGCCGTAAACCTGGAACTTTTTGTAAAATCCGATTGGCATTTGTTACCGCTAAACTAGTTGCGCGGAGTTTCAAACATATGACGAGCCCCCAGAGCACCTGTATATGGGGATGATATGCATGTATCTTGGTCAGCTTGATATCTTTGAGCGGCAGACTTAGGTGTGAGCTTTGGAGGGAGCCAGTTGTAACAGGAGACTGCTAAAGGCTGTCCACAAACATAAATGCTGAGTGTAACTAACAGATGTCAGTCATCTTATAATCCTTTCAATCTTGTGATCAACTTAACATTGCTATTGTCCAGAAACCAGTGAACATGGCATAGGACTTTTCAAGGTCTGACACGCTCAATCAACCAAAAGATGAGTTTGTCTCGGCAGCTCTCAGTATTCATGCTTACAGGGAGCTGAGTCTTCATTGCAGCACTCTTGCTCTATCACAAAACCCATCTCAAGTCTGCAGCCTTCTGAGATTATGAATACAATCATATCGTGAGATCAGCACCCAGTGATCATGAATTAATTGTAATCAGTACGCCAACAATCACATTTGGAATCCGGAGTTTTCAGACAAAGCGAACTAAGCTGGATTCAGCCACCCGGCGCACTAACCGAGGAGATTACCTAATAGTTACACCAAATCCCGCCTGAACATCTCCGGCCAAACAACAAATATCAATGACAACGTCGGGACAAAGACTCACCACTCTCCTCTCAAAGCCCTTCTCGGTGCCCAATCTCTCTCCATTACGCTCGCTCGAGCCTCTACTCCGTTTCCCAGTGCAATTAGAAGCCACCTGCGCTTAGCCTGCCCCCTCCGCTGGTGGTCTTGCGTTCTCCGAAGTCCTCCGCCCCGTCTCCTCGAATCCATCCTTACCCGCCCGCCATGTTTTACCGAACCGCCGCTGCTCGCTCTATCCTGAGGGCAGCAACCAGCTCAAATTCATCTGTAACACGCTCGGCATTGTCCAGCACCATTTTCAAGGCCCAATTGACTTCGTCTGTCCGCCAAGCCGCTGTCACTCGTTCGACATCTCTCGCACTAGCCGCCCGCAAACCTACAACCACCGCTCTTACCCGATATGCCTCGACAGCTGCTGTCAAGACCAACGAGCCTACGCCAGCGCGGAAGGCTGAGGAAGAGGAGGATATTGATATGATGGCTGGTGTAAAGAGCGATATGGTCAGTATTTTGCTCTCCCAGCGACGTCGGTCGCGGACGAAGGCCGGGAATTGGGTTTCCATCGCAAGAAACACTAACATCGGGGCAAATTTGTATAGAAAATTATCCGTGAGACTTTCTCTCTCAAGGAAGTTCCCAAAGAAGCCTTGTACCTCGGATTGGCCGGTGTCCTTCCTTACCTCGCGACTTCGCTTCAAACTGTTTACTTGTCCTGGGAATTGAACAATGCCATCACCACTGGTACTGGCTACTACATCACCGGCCAAACTGCGGAAATGATGATGAGCATTCTTGAGCCGGTTCAGGTTGGATATGGCGCAGTTGTAAGTCCCTCTCACATGCCTTGTCATCCCCCTCCTAGGTTTCCTTACATTATTTGGGGGCATTCTAATTTCTTTTTTATAGATCCTCTCTTTCCTCGGCGCCATCCACTGGGGTCTGGAATGGGCCGGCTACGGTGGAAAGGTTGGCTACCAACGATATGCTATTGGTGTCGTCGCACCTGCCGTCGCCTGGCCCACCCTATTCATGCCTATTGAATACGCCCTGATCTCTCAGTTCTGTGCCTTCACCTTCCTGTACTATAACGACGCCCGCGCCGCGGTTAAGGGCTGGACGCCATCCTGGTACCACATGTACCGCTTCGTCCTGACCTTCGTTGTCGGTGCCAGCATCGTTATCAGTCTGATCGGCCGTGAAGCCCTTGCCACCCACTATGAGTCCCGGAACGAACTGACCAAGAAGTGGAAAGAGTTGGCGCGCCGGCAAAAGGAGACAGCGGCCGTCAAGGCAGCGGAGTCCACCGAAGAGCAATAAATAATGCTCGCGGCGCAGGTGTTGCGTTTGTGCCATAGGGTTTAAAGTATCTAATCGTTTCCACCCTCCCTACGGCACCCCAAAGTTACTCCCACCATTTGTTTAGTCCTTTTGTAAATTAAGAAAAAGCAGAAAACGAGAACCAAAAATATATATATATATATATATATATATATGTCCAACCACAAAGCAAGACGCTGCGAATTTTTCATTTGTATATACCTCACTAATAATGGTTACCCCAATCCCATTATTTTACGTTTGGAAACACATGGCTATTGCTATCAATTCATCCGTGAGGAGGCTATGCGTCCCCCCCATTCTTTTCCTTTGAAGTTGGGGGGGAGGGAAGAAAAGAGGTCCAGTTTTTTCGGCGATTCTATATTGCCAGAATATGAGCACTTAACAGAAGCGCAGGACGTAGCCCCAGAATTTAGACGTTTTATTCGACAAGGAAATAGGAATATCAACGTTCTCGCCGTTATTTTATGATATGTGCTTGAATTAGGTTTATAGCCTCGTATAAAACCTGCTACTAAAGCTTGAAGTGAACGGGGGTAAATGGCCCATAAGATGTTCCAACAGATGATGTAAAGTATCTAGAGTATGGGGCGCAGTATGTCAAAAAATTGAAGCTAATCATTCCGTGTCCCCTAGGAGTCGGTTTTGTCACTATCCAAAGGATCGGTTCATCTTAAGAAGGCCGGCCCAACAAGTACGGTCAAGGCAACCTCATTCCCCATTAACCATCGGCGGATCACCTCGCAACGACGTCAGAAGTATAAATAAATAAGAAACACGGAGAGAAGCCGCACTTTTTGCACATCATTACTAGTTACAGCTGATCAGCCTTAGACGTCTAATATTGCTTGACAGCATACCATTTGGCCCCCTCACATACCTCCAAACGCACAAGAGCTGAAACGAGCTATGATGAACGGCGATTTCTCTTGTGCAGCAGCACATAAAAGCATGAGCTTCAGAACTCTTGAATCTCTCAAGAGCTCCAGGTGCTTCTCAAAGTAAATTTTTTACTTCAAAAGACGTTCATTTTCACAGCGATCCAATCCAACGTGCTTTTCTGTTGCCGACCAACTGCACCAGACGTCCCTCCTTCCCCCCTCTGCAACAAAGATCATGCCACGATCGAACTACGACAGGGCGTACAAGCACTTACACTTCAACTATGTTCTGGGGATTATCACGATCTTCACGGGCGTTTGTGGCTTTTGTTTGGTGACTTATGCTATATCGCAGCAGGAGTGAGATGGTAGCCTCCTGTTGGAAGTCTTTATCTCATTTGACCTATGATATACCTACCTCCCCACTAACAACAAGGTGGGTGGGCAAATCATTTAGACATGTATACATCGATGGCGTGGGAGGAATCGCGGCCATTTTCTTCATGGCACCAGTGAGTACTCTTGTGGACGAGAGAACGCAGTTCCATCTATGCAAAGTATTGATTTGCTGCGCGATAAGAAATCAGCAATCATCGGTCACCTTTTGCTTTTATTCCCTTTGGCTGATTCAACAATGTTCGTTCGATCATGGGCTAATTAATATTAACAAACACCAAAGCTCGCGCTTACCTTCGTTTGCCCTTCGTTTGCTCACTTGCCTATGTAATAGCTGTATGGGTGAAGAAGTCAAGGGCGTCGATGCACCCAGGCATCCCCGTTGGATTTGACCTGATCACCGCGCTGTCCTTGGCTAGCTTGAGTGGATTTGCATGCGATGTCATGATCACCTGGGGTCCCTGTGATGTGAAAAAGAGCGAGGAATGCGCCGTGACGAAAAGGATAACAGCTACCGAGAGGACGGCGCAGGTTTTGACGTTTATCGATTTGCCAGTTTTCGCCCTTCAGGCATTTTTCCCCCCTTTTTCCCCCTCTCTCTACGTTCCCTCTTCCGCTCACATCGCATGTTTTGAACTTCCTATCTTCTACTATTCATGATGTTCACACAAGCTAACCAACTAAATTTTCCTGTGGTGGGCTAGATATGACAGTGTATTCCACTTGATCCTTCTCGTCTTCGTGTGCATGGCGTGTCACAAGGAGAGGCGGTTTCAGAAAAGCGACAAGGCGAATGCCTATGTCATTGAGCTGCAACAGACCGGACCTAGGGTCCCTAAGGTCTGAGAGAATGAGATACGACCGGTGTGCAAAACATCCGCGCGAACTAGATGAGTATAACGGGCGATGACAATTAATGTTAATGTTTTCTTCCGCCGGGGTGTATGCTATGTCAGCCGGCGCAGAAGGAAGACATCAAAGATGGATAAGGTGTGTCGCACTCGGGCGTTGTTTGAGATGCCAATGGATGTTAACATCGGCGAGCGAGGATGGTCTTTATCTTTTCTGCTGGCTAGGTGGATACTGCCGCCATATAATGTCTAATTAATATTCCAGTATAATGTCTAATATTTAATAAATAGTCCAAACTAGCGAAAGCACAGCTTTTGTTATCTATATCTCCTCCCCTGAATAATGTGGGGCGGAAGATCGAATTGACGGATGCGAAAGGCCGAGCGAGCTAATGAGATGGGCCCAAGGCGAAGAGCTCATAAGCCGGGAGATCTTCTTTTCGTTCTTGGACCGTTTTATATGAAATCCATATATGCATGATATCCAGTTGTCAAAGTGGTTTGCAGAGGAATTAGAGTTAGGGTTGATTACACGTCACTTTATGTGCCATCAAGACACTTTTCAAAGCTTGCGCGTTTGGAATTCTCCTTATATTCTGAAATAAGTTATAGTGGACTATTTAAAATTCTGAATGAAGTATGAGATATGGTGAATCGTCACAAGGACAGTGTGTTCTGTCCGCTGGCATCCGTCCGATTTGTGAAGCGGGTTTTACAGCGGTTAGGTCCCCGAACTTTGGCCATGGCGAGAGAAGTGCGGAGGAGGGAAAATAATGGATTACAAGATATGCATATGCATCAAATGTGCGGCTTTAAAAACCACAATATCGACTTATATAAATCTGTTAGGATAGCCGTAGAAACATCGTCCCATATAGTTTATATGGGCCATGGCATCTGGCAAAATTTATTTTAAATTCCTCACCACTCTGATAATACTGTGTAGATAATAACTAGTGAAAATAAGATTTGATATGCTTTACGCTGCGTATATATTTCTTCCTCTAGAGCTTAATTATTATTGTGGGCCTTGTCACCACCCAATTGATCTAGCCAATTGACCTAGCGGGTCATGCTTTTTTCTTTTCTTTTTCTTTTTTTTCCATTTTTCGCTGCATTGAGTCGTCGGCCATCGAGGAGGCGCTTTTCAACCAAGGAACGCAGGGCGTTGCAGGATTTCGTCATGCACGTAGTAGTATATGATCGGAGGTACATGTACATACATACATAATGCGCCCGTCGGATGTACAGAATATTCCTATCCAATCAGATGCATGGTTTCCAAATTTTCTCCTGAGACTCGAGAGACGAGGAGGGGGAAAGGATTAGTTACTACTGTACTGACTACTCCGTATGTGAGGCAATGGATGAACGCCATGGCCTAGCGGGTGAGTAGCGGGCGAAAGCTAGCCTATTTGCAAATCCCAAGAAGTAGCTAAAAATGCAGGAAATTACCCCTGGCCCGCGTAGATATGCGAGTGACTAACTAGCACCAAGCAGAACTTGGCTGTTTCTATAAAATTCCGAGGGCGCGTGTGCTGTTGGGACTTACTTATATATTTTTGTTGATATATATAACACCCCTAAGGGCCCTAACACATCCCCATTCTTCCTTCTATCACCGCTGCTCTCCCCTTGGCATTAATGTATGTACTGTACACACACATATATATATATATATATAAGACGCGATTCAGCAGGTTAATGTTAGTAACTATATGGACAAGTTGGTCGAGCCAAAGGCTATCTGGCGGCTTGCCCCACGCCTTAACCAGTCTCCAACTCCGCCGAGTCGTCCAACATCTCGTGCTCGGCGTCATGAGTACTCTCCACGTCCGCCACAACCACCATCATTACCATTTCTGCTCCGCGCCTCCCTCTTCCTTTTCTTCATCTTCCCTTCTCCTCTTCATCGGCTGAATTTATCCCCATCTTCCCCCCAATCTACCATACTTTCACTCACTTGTCCCCCCTATTGCCGGATTGTAAAGCCTGATTCATTCTCTGAGCGGCCTGGAAAATCCTAGAATCGCACTAAATAGATCACACGAAATTCTGTTCGATATCCTCGTTGGACCTGACCTCCCGGTATTCTGGACAAAATTCGTACGGTATGATACGCGATTTCGTCCTCAAACACGTCCTATCCACGGACCTCCTCGACACGGAGAGCGATAGCCAAGCGGCCTCGAAGCCATCTGATCAACCACAGCACCCAAAGTCAGGGCGATATATAGGTGCCATTGACCAAGGCACCACTTCATCGAGGTTCATTATCTTTGATGACGAAGGCAATCTAGTGGCTTCCCATCAGGTGGAACTAAGTCGCATTTGCGAGCGTTCTGGGTAGGCGAGGTTGCCCCTCCCTTGTCGATGCGTGAAGGGCACAAGGGACGATCGCAGCTGACAAGAAGAAATATTCTATATCTGATTTTGCAGGTGGCATGAACAGGACCCAGAAGAAATAGTCTCCTCGGTGGAGAAATGCATTGAACAGGCAACCAGGGCCTTTACCTCCAAAGGTTTCTCAATCGCAGATATTCAGACAATAGGTCTAACCAGCCAACGCGAAACCACAGTCGTATGGGATTGGGAGACGGGAAAACCGCTAAATAATGCGATCGCATGGCCAGACACGCGGACCACATCGTTGGTTAGAGAGCTAAAGTCAAAAGAGGGGGCGGACAAGCTGCAAGAGATATGTGGGCTTCCACTCTCAACTTATTCTTCCTCTGCCAAGCTGGTTTGGCTCCTTCGAAATATCCCTGATGTGAAAAAGGCATACGACGATGGTCGATTAGCATTCGGAACTGTTGATACTTGGCTCATCTACAATCTAAACGGCGGGAAAAAGAACGACGTCTTCGTCACAGATGTGACCAATGCCTCTAGAACCATGTTCACAAATCTGCACTCTCTCAAGTATGATGAGACCTTGCTTAACTTTTTTGAGATTGATCGCTCGAAAATAAAGCTCCCGAAAATTATTGCTTCTGCCCACGAATCGGCATTTGGTTCAATGGCGGCTGGCCCCTTGAAAGGCATCAAAATAACGAGCTGTCTTGGAGACCAATCCGCTGCATTGATTGGCCACTGTGCTTTCTCGCCTGGCCAAGCTAAAAACACTTACGGGACCGGCTGCTTCCTTCTCTATAATGTGGGGAAGTCACCCGTAATATCTAAGCATGGTCTACTTGCAACAGTTGGATATCAATTAGGCGAATCACCTGTATATGCCTTGGAAGGAAGTATTGCGGTTGCTGGAAGTGGTGTCAGCTTTCTAATGAACAACTTAGGCTTCTTCAGGGATGCAAGGAAAATCAACGACGAAGCTGCCACTGTGCCTGATTCGGGTGGATGTGTATTCGTTACTGCTTTCAGCGGATTATTTGCTCCTTACTGGATTGATGATGCAAAAGGCACAATTTTCGGCATCTCTCAGCACACGCAACGAGGACACATAGCCAGGGCAACATTGGAAGCTGTGTGCTTCCAGACCAAAGCAATCCTAGATGCAATGGAGAAAGACAGCGGCGAGAAGCTGAAGGAGCTGACGGTCGATGGCGGGCTGTCTGCTAGCGACATATGCATGCAGTCCCAATCGGATATTATCCAAATGCCAATTGAACGGCCACGGATGCACGAGATTACCGCGCTAGGTGCTGCTATTGCGGCGGGATACGCGATTGGCATCTTTAAGGACCTTGATGCATTACGAGGAATGAACAAGTCGAGTAGGACGGTCTTCAAACCCCAAATAACTGAATCAGAAAGCTCGAGGATGTATAAACAATGGTCGAAAGCCGTCGAAATGTCTCGAGGTTGGCTAGACAATAATGCAATCCAGTCGATGTGATTGTTGAACAATGAACGAACGATTGTTTTGTTGGTGGAGTTGTTTGTCCACGTCCACTCACCTTTGTTTTTTTATAATATCTTTGTCAAGCATAGCAGGTAGGATGCTCCTTTGGATACCCATATTCTCATTTTTAATTTTCCTTTTGCGAATATACCTTTCTCGTGTAGATGCTTAATAGTCAGTTGTTCTATTCTTGGTTTGATGCAAATGTTCGTAATAGATTGGTTCCCGTTGCACTGGTTCTGCCGCTCTGCACTCCGAAATTGTGAAAGAGGCCGCCTTGTGTCGTTGTGTCAGCGTGTTAGATAGCCACGGGGTGTTATCTGATAAGGTTGTGCTTAGGTTGTGCTGGATGTTTACTACATGGCATAAGACGAGTCTCGTTGGAGGCAGGGGGGAGGGGGGGTGCCTTTCGCTTTTCTGCTCGTTCCGCGTTCCTCGGACAGCATTCTTGTGATTCCTGAAGTCCATCCTCGCCTTCTCACTCCGTGATTACGACTCGGTTACAACATCGAATGATCGTTTGCCTGCGTCTCAGTGGACTGTGTCGACCGCACGACCGCAATTGGGCTAGTTGGTCGGTAACGTCGATGCACAAGGAGGGAATATCTGCACGATAACAGGGTTTACAAGCATTCGGAAACAGGCCTGTTGTGCCGGGGATTAAGCAATCAGAGTTAAAGGATATTCCCCTTCTTGTTGGTGACAAAACAGTACTTAGCTTGGTGTCCCGTCGGTGGCAAGGAGCTATTTCTCATATCAAGAGAAGGAGAAAACCACCTTATGCATGCAGGGCGCGGCGGGTGGGTGGAAGAGACAAGAATTGAATCTTCAACCTTTAGCCCTGCATGAATCATATTACTTACTACAGCGAGCTGTTTGACTCTCAAAAGCAAAAGGGGAAACAAAAGAAACAAAAACGCCACGACGGACGGCTTCTCCCGCGCAGGCCAGTTTGGGACGCCGGGACAACAAGCCTTAGGGAAGGGGGGCGGATCTCCGCCATGACTGATAAACCCTGCTAGTTGAAGCTCCGCACTCTTATATTACCTTCCCATTTGTTCGTTTGGCAATGATAGTGTGAACTGCCGGTTTCGTTTTACTTTGTCTCTTAACTGATCACTCAGCACGCATGCTCGGAAGCTAGTTACCACCTTCGGTCCTTGTGCTGGAAAGTTTCCAAGATTTGGTCTTAATGATATACTTCCCTTACATATCTTCGTTGTGTTCCACAGCAGCGAGCGGCTTTTGTTTCCTGGTATATATGGACTGGAACCTACGATATGGATAGGTTCAGCGTCATTATCCGAACCGGAGGAAATACGCTGAGCTCTCTTGAGAGGCAACAACCACTTCAGCGTTGCATGTTTAAGGATGTTTCCCTTGCACCTGGGCCATCAAATTGACCTTCATTTGTTTTCCGCTGAGAGAAATCATTTAAAAGGCATGGATCAGAACCGCTACTGCTCCTGCTCAAATTTGTCTCCTAGCAGCCAGTACCTCTGACTTACCACTCATACGCCTAGCTAAGAACAAAGCCTTGTTTTCGTTACCACTTTTACATAGGAAAGATGTGCGATTATAGAGAGTTGACTCACAGTTGTGGTCACAAGTTGTACTTGGTTTACGCCTGGTGCTCCGAATATCATCAAACACAGATACGATGCCCGCCAAATGTGATCTCGCGGTATGTTTGAACACATTTTCTTTTTAACCAATGCATAAGAAAAGAGAGCCCTGGACATCAGAATTGTACTGAGTGAAGCAATCACGGGATTAGGGAAACCGCTCCGAAAGAATGCAGTACGTAAATTCCGTCGTCCGTCATCTGCTCGACCTTCACCCCTCGTCCCTTATCGGCAGTGTTTGATTTGTGCTCACTGGAGACACACAATGTGCTGTATATGTTGGGAAAATATGTTGTGAACATGGCCAAACCTACGTTATGACTGTACCTCAAGTATTAATTGATCATTTTTGTCCCTAGGTTCCTGTGCGGAATCGAAGAAAAGAAGATCCGTGCCTTCGTCTTCGGGCCCCTCCACCTCGTCATGAAAAAGAAAACCCGATAATTCCCCCCTTGAAAAATGTGACCGAGAAAATTTTTCCTCATAGCTACCACCATCAATGATTCCTGCATAAAATTTTGCATTATTTCGTCACCCCACCAGTTCTCCTCTCTTCATGACATCGATACGAACCTACTAATTAACAAGGTGAGATCAAATCGGCCGGCGGGTGGTCTTGAACCCTGCTTTTGTCAACTGGGCCTATTTGGGGTGCTGGCAGTTTTTCAGGGTCTGGCTGGCTCAAGCCGTGGTCAAAAATAATGGTGCAACTCCGGACAACGCACGACATAGGCGACAAAGAGTTGACGGGGAAAAGAAAACCAAGGCTGATTGAAGATGTCGATCCGTTTTTGTCCAATCACAGTGTTCTCCTGTTTTACTTTTTTCTCGCTTTGTCTTTTCTTTTTGGTTTATTTTTAGGGGCCGGCATATTTCGCTACTTTTAGTTTGGCTTTTTCTTTTTTTGGTCCCTTTCTGCAATTTGTAGGTCACACAAGTACGGAGTAAAAGGGGCCATTATTGATGTTTTTTCCTCTGTCTAGATTTTTGGGTTATTGCCCTTTCTTAATGTCGGGCTTTTGACCATCTTCCCCCATTACTCCTAAAATTTACTCTCTTGCAAATCGGAATTTGTTTGGGCTTACACTTTCTTTTCCCTATTATCTTTGCTGAGGAGCTCGATTACCGCTCTGTTTCTGACATCTGTGGTCTCATGGTAGAGGTTTTCTATCTCCACCACTCCCAAGAGATACGGGCCCCCTATTTGCATTCCTGCCTATCGCTATCGTCGTTGTAGTTCTCCTCGTCATCCCTCCCTCCCTTCTCTCCTCACGTTCTTATCTGGAGGGAAAAAGGGGAATTGGGAAAGTTGGGAAAGGTAAAAAGAAACAAGGAGCAACGAGGAAGAAAGAAAGGGAATAGGCATAAGACACATTATGACGATTAATGAATATGGCACCCGCCACCAAACCTTCTTTCCCTCCTCTGCCTGCTCCTCGCACTCCCCATCATCGTCTCACCCGCCCTGAAGGGGGGGGGGGGAATAAAGGAGCATAGGGCAAAAAAAAAAAAAAAACCACATGTAAGGGATTGTATTTCTAACAAGTAGTGCGCGAATATCCCCATCGAGGTTGGTGCGTCCTACTTTGAGATGGGCTCTTTTTTCCCCTTTTTATTTTCAATGTGGTTTTGTATGTAATTTTCCCCTTACTTTTCTGCTGGTTTGATACCCCACGTCCTCTTCACAAAATACGACACATGCGTTTGCGGCACTGTTATCTCGTTCCATATTTTCTCCGGTGCACCTACTAAAGCTTTCAGCCAATACCCCCGAAGATCTAGTCCTCTACCTGGGCAAGATAGCAACTTCCTTTCTTGTCCTTCCCCCCCTTTTCACTCGATTTATCATTTTTCCTTCTCCATCTACGCCTCGTTCAAGGTTTGTGCTCTGCTTCCCTTCTCCCCCATGTGACATGAGCCAATTAGGTGGTTGCTGATGCAAAAACCTTTTAGCCTTAGGCACGCACAGACACATGTGCGCTGCATACTAAGCGTGGGGTATCCCACCCCGGGTCCCCCTCCGGTTCTTCCACAAGGGAGACATCAGAAAAGTCATCCAATACCACCTCAATGTCCCTCGCTTCCACCCAGACTAACATCTAATCCACCTGCACCCGCACAGATAGGAAGAAGACCCGTGCGGTCAGCGGCTAGCCAGCAGTAGCCTACACAATTTTTGTCGATGAGAAACGGGATCAGGGGCTTGCAGACTGGGCACACTTACATGCATGCATGTATGCATGCATGTATGTTGTATGCACGCAAGCACGCACGCAGGAGGATCCAGCGGGGCCAGGCTTCAAGCCTTCAACTTTTGAGACTGGAACCGAGGGGTTGCTGTTGGTGGCGGTGGACGGGGTGGACGGATCGGGGAGCGAGGGGCCGGGCCGTATGAAGGTTTTTGATATATGATAGGTTGCATTTGTTCCATTTTCAATGTAGGAAAGTGAACTGGGCACTGCCCCTCCTCTCCCCCAGCGTCTAGTGCTTATATCTCTACCGTTTTCTAAGTGACTAGATTGTAGAGGGGTCCTGATCTAGGTTTGATGTAAGGGAAAGGCTCTCAAGATGTTGTTGTGGAGATGATAAGGTGAGTGCTCATACAATTTGTATGAAGGGGAGAATGTATAGTACATGTATGTACAAGGGATAAAGTTAACTAGTTTCTTCCCGTTTCACTTGTCAACAGGGTCAATCTTATCAGTAGAGGGAGAATATCAACTATCTACCCTAGCAGGTAGTTCTCAAATATATCCTTCTCACCCTAATCCTTCTACTTCTTCCTCCTTAGTTTCTTCCAAAGCAACTCATCCAATAATGTATACATACATTATTCTCCACTTTCCTCACAACAGAACATGTGTGAGGCATGCAATGCAAGTGTCAAAAATGGGACATTGAGACAAGAGTTTCCGTGGCTTGCATAAGCACTCTTGGTGGCAATGTAGATCTGAGCTCATTCTTTTTTGTCTTCTACTTCAATTGCTTGTTTTTCTGCTTTTCTTTGGCTTTTCTGTTTTCCCTCTCTTTTCTTTTCCTTTTGTGCCTCTGATCTCTTCATCACCTCTTCATTCTTTCTTTCTTCAGACTTTCACTTTATTATTATTATTATTCTTCTTCTTTCATTATACTCATATACAAGCAGAGCTTATGATGAGTTCTTGCATGATGTTAAATACAGGTCAAGAGTTGATTATATAGGAGAAAATACAGGTGTTGAAATCATGCCAAAATACCTTAAAATAATGAGAAGAAAAAATTGATAGTTTAATATATGAAGTAAGTGATAATATACAGAGTGTGAAAAAATGAAAAATATTAATATGAGTAGTAAAAGTGTTATATTTCATAGTAGCAGATTATGCAGAGATTGCAGTTAATAAAAAAGGTGAAACAGAAAAGAGATAATAAGAAGTAAAAAATTAATAAATATTAATTTTATTAACTAGTTTACTTATTATATTCTTTTAATGTTAAACACTATGTTCTTTTTATGTTTCTAATTATACTTCTTTGTATTATTATAATTATATAAACGTTTATAGGCAATGGCAATAGCAGCAACAGTGACGGACGGCCCTTACTGGCCCAGGAAAGAGGACTAGCATACAGCTTATAAACCCTCTTGCTTAATTTACTCTAAATTCCGTTCCATTTTGGAGCTGGGGAGTCTATTTATTTTGATATATATATTACTATTACGACGGGCTCAGTTGCAATCAGGGGTCATCTAGTCGTCACGCACTATTTCTGCAAATTCTTTTCGAACTGGTTTGCCCAGCCCTACCAGTGGTTTCTTCAAAGCGAGTTACTGCGGGCACAAAATATTATATTGAAGCGAAAACGTGGAATTCTTACGATTGTTTCAAGTAACGTGAATCGTTTTTCTCAGAGATTCCGTGCGAAGTTTTGGGCGCAGCTTTCGTGTGTTCACTGGCTGCCGTAGACCGAAATCGGTAAAAATTATTTAGAGGGGTGTAGATTTAACTATGAATAATAAAATAGCATGAGTAAAATGATTTGGGAGTCTCCTCGTCTTAGACATGCAGAAGCTATTGTCAGTATGGCTTTGTAACTTGCGTATTAACTTTATATAGTATCGGGGTTATGTTATAACAAAAAATAAAACCCGTAGAAAGAAAAGAAATAAGTTTCATGAGGAACAAAGGAACAAAGATTAAGTTCTCCATGGACACGGATCATTTCGATAAGCCGGGTGGTATTCATTAATAAACGTATTGCCAGGGAGCTCTTGTGGTTCGACAGCCCGAATGGTGGGAGCCATTTCTGTCGAATATGCCATCGATATATGGGGATTGCTATTCGCGGGACCAGTATGGATACTCTGAGTTGCTCTAGTCGTCCACGAGTCACCCTGAGCTTGCTTGGTTGGGTATTGATTGTCAGTTGGGGCGAGTTCATGGGTGCCTTTTGTCGGTTGGCGAATTAGGTCATCCACAGTGATTTTGGGGATCGAATTCTGGCGGCGTTTCCATCTGCGTAGAAGAAGGAGTGTAACCCCTAAAATAAGCAGGGCGCCACATGCGGAGCCAATGACTATCCCGACAATTTCTCTCTCGTTCAGCCGCCGTGGATTTGAGAGCGCTTGTTCTGAAGGCTTCGAAGGCGACTCCAAAGGCGCTGACGAAGTAGGCGATGCCGAAGGCCGCGCGGTTTGCGAGGGAACAAGATCATATTTCTTAGCGAATAGAGCTGTGCGGATGGTTGTGGTATCGGTGTCTACGCTTGCAGTTGCGACGGGGGGTACAACTGTTGAAAATTGGCTATAGCAGGGGGTTTGTGTTCCGAGAAGAGTAGTAAAAACGGACCAACCACTGGCACAGAGCTTCTTAGTGTCAATCGTCCAATGGCTTTCTGGAAAGCAAAGACTTCATACTTACGTTGGGCAACATGCGTTCTCCTCTGCGACCACATAGCCCTGTGGGCAGGCTGAGAGAGGGGCGCCTGGCTTCCCCTCAACTGGGCAACAGGTGTGTTCTTCATTATCCCTACAGACAATCCGGGAATAGACTGTTATATGATTGTTCGAATCCGTGACGGTAGTATCTTCAGTCGGCCATGTGCAGGACCCGATCACTATTCCAGGCCCAAGATCTCGTGAGCCTAAGGTTCCAGAACTCTTGTCCATCGAAGTAGTAGATATACTGGTGACAAAGGCCGATGGAAAGGCTCCAGAGCGGGTGGGTATTAGGGAAGGGCCAAAAGTTGTAACTGATATAGTTGGGTGTCCCATAATGATCCCTGGGCCGGAATATTTGCCGGCTGGAACTTCCATTCTTCGTTGAAAGATACGGTCTATAATATCGGGAATATTGGGAATGGCTAGGGGGAAATCAACCATTCACTTTGATATCTTCTGATATCTCAAGCCGCTTAATAGCTGTTCCCTGTCGTAGAAATTAGATGTGTACCAAGTTATCTCCCGCAAGGAAAACTGACATACAAGACAGAGAGGCTTATGGAACCCGAAACAATAATCAATCTATGTGACAATGAAATATATTCCACTGTAAGTACGAGTGTTAGAGACTTATTTCACCCATAACGTAGTGTTTCAGCTGAGAATAAATCGAGAGATGTGATCCTTAAGGAGACTGCGGGAAAGAATGTCACCAAATATGTACTTACATGAGATAGTAAAATTTAAATTGCTATGGAAACTGTGTGTGTGTGTGTGTAAACAAACAGTAGTATAGCTGTCATTGCTTGGTAGGGATTAAACATAACCCACAGTATTGACAGAGAGATTGAGCGCATAAAGTCGAGTGGATGCTCCACATCTAAATCCATAAGCCGGCAACGGATGCCTGGGGCTCGGCGCTGCAAGCGCCATAAGAAAGAACTTGGCCAATAAATGGGTTTGCTTAAAGGATCTAGATAGAAGGACTCTAGAAATACAAGCTATCTAGCTCATTGCCGCTTCCGGCGCTCGCCAGGTTCTAAGCCGCTTTGTGGAAGTAACGCCACCACATTCCAAGGGGACTCCACCTGGTAAACAAAGATCTTTGCATTTAACTGCGTTATTGAATAAGAAATACAGTCAAAGAGATGAGAAAGTATGTTAATGTATGGCAGAATAATATTTTATTTGCTTGTCAGTTGCATCATTTGGGCCAATGCATTCAAATTAGGTATCATGGGACTACATAGTCACACATCTGTTATGGTGGAAGATGTCATTTTGTCATTACATACTCATAGTAACAATAGAGTAGAAAGAATAATGGAAAGACTCTTGTACATGTACATACATTCAAAACAAATGAGCGGATGAAGTTAGTTCAAGGTTGTTCGAGAAATTAGAGTATACACTAGTTAATCACGTGACAAACCTTAATATCATTTATGCTTCACTAAATTAAGGTTGTTTTTGGCATAAAACGGTCAATTTGTATTCATGGGAACAATGTACGGAGTATATAGTGTCTGAGTAAATGAAACTGTTGGCCTCAATAGAAGCCAGGAGCAAAATGGCATCTGAGCACCCGCCGTGTCGCGTGTTTAACACATTATATGAGTAACCATTCAACTTTTGAACAAAAATCAAGCAGTGTTTGCTTTAACACGACAATAGACTATTAGGAGAAATGAGACACCAAGTCGAGAGAGTTGAGAAACAGAGCAAGAAAGACTCAATAACAAATGACGCGTAAATGTCTTCGATGAAATCAAATCGCGCTCAACAACGCAATGGGTTTTCAATAGAAATAATCTCACAACAAAGTGGCATTAGAATCCATCAATAGCATACAACTCGGATAGAAAGAAAAAGAATCAAAACAAACAAACAAGTAAAACAAAACAAAACAACATGCACCAAAGATGTCAGAAGTATCTCAGCCGGATTGGGCGGAATATGTCAGGGATACCCCGCTATGTGAGGAGAAAGCTCTCAAAATAACGCAGCTTCAAGTCAACTACCAACAAAACAACGGCCAACATGGAGGCGCAAACATTGCATAGGACTTACAAGCCCTCCAAGCCCCATGAGAGATGACAGCTGTTGATCAGTAACATCTGGCGGGACCAATGTAGCATAACTGGCCTCCAAGCTTGTATGTGAGGGTCTAACTTGTAAGGAAAAGATGCAACAGACGCGGTGCGATTCTCGCTTGCATCCACTGCATTAGCAATTGAGCGCCTGGTGAAAGAAACACTATCATCAAGGGAAGATAAGACCCAGTCAGATCGATGATAATCTTCACAATGAATACCATCAACGGACGGTGACTAGAAGGCGGAGACAACATGTTAACAATCCTTGTTACAGAGGTCAGTTTCACGGGTCCACCCTAACCTGAAGAAATAAAGTTTGCCTAGGTACGTCCTAATAGCTGCAGACCTCTCGGGTGCTTGGTGCGTATGAGTAAAATTAATTCCAAGTTGTTTTGAATTGGAGTTCGATTGAATGTGGAATTACTGAGAAATGTGTCAAGCCCCTTCTGAATGCTTACTAATGTTGCAGAGCGATCGCCTCCCGCCAATAATGAGAAGCGACATCGCCCAGAAAATCGTTTGATATGTTCCACTGCCGGATCCGATCCTGTTTCTTGCCTAAACGACAGACGACGTCAATTGCAATGGATTCCGATAATAACCCGCCAGATTCCAGAGAGTCTGATGAAACTTACATTTTAGTGACAGGCACAAACAGGTAGGCATCAAAACAAGCTGCCCAGCTCTCCTGTTAATTTTTCGCTAATGCCATTTTCCTCCGAACTGCCACAGTGGCCTAGGATTCTCTATTTGCTG